GCGTCGGTGCGCGCCCAGGATCCAAACCCAGGCCGCCAGCAGCAGAGCGCGCACACTAAGCCACAGGGCCGGCCCGAGAAAAATTTTTTTGACAGAAGCTGATTGGTTTGTGATAAGAAAAAGGTAGAGGGCCGGCTCCGTGGCCTAGCGGTTAAGTGCACGCGCTCTGATGCTGGCGGCCCGGGTTCGGATCCCGGGCAAGCCCCAAGGCGCCACTTCTCCGTCCAACGCGAGGCCGAGTCCCACGTGCAGCAACTAAAAGGATGTGAACCTATGACATACAGCTATCTACTGGGGCTTTGGGGGGAAAAATGAATAAATAAAATCTTTAAAAAAAAAAAAAAAGAAAAAGAAAAAGGTAGAAAGTTGCAAAATAATAAAGTGGGTGCTGGAAAAATTAATGTACAGTAATATGCAAATGTCAATTTTTTAAAAACCATCTTTAATGAGGTATTATTTATATACAATAAAATTCATCAGTTTTTTTGTGTGTGTGTGAGGAAGATTAGCCCTGAGCTAACACCTGTTGCCAATCTTCCTCTTTTTTTGCTGAGGAAGATTGGCCCTGGGCTAATATCCGTGCCCATCTTCTCTACTTTATGTGAGACGCCTGCCACAGCATGGCTTGATATAAGCGGTGTGTAGGTCCACACCCGGGTCCGAACCCGTGAAGTCTGGGCCACCGAAGTGGAGCGTGCAAACTTAACCACTATGCCGCCGGGGCAGCCCCAAAATTCATCAATTTTAAGTGTATAATTCCGTGAGTTTTGACAAATGTATATAGTCATGTAAGCATACCACAGTCAAGGTGTAGAATATTTTTGTTACCCCCACAAAGTTCCCTCATACCCCTTTGCTGTCAGTTCTCTCTCCATTCCCTGCAACCATTTATCTGTTTTCTGTGGCTATAATTATGTCTTTTTTAGAATTTCCTATAAATGAATTCACACAATATACAGTCTTTTGTGTCTGGCTTATTTAACATAATGCTTTTGAGCTTCATCTGCATTGTTGCATGTATCAATTGTTTCTGTGTATTTTCTCTCTTCGTCTTATTTCCCTTACCTTTCTGAGTGTATGGAGCATATTCATAATAGCATTTTTTTTTTTTTTCTGAGGGAGATCAGCCCTGAGCTAACATCCGTGGTAATCCTCCTCTTTTTGTTTTTGCTGAGGAAGACTGGCTCTGAACTGACATCTATTGTCAAATCCTCCTCCTTCCCGCCCCCGCCCTGAAAGCCCCAGTAGATAGTTGTATGTCGTAGTTGCACATTCTTCTAGTTGCTGTATGTGGGGCGCGGCCTAAGCGTGGCCGGAGAAGTGGTGCATTGGTGTGCGCCCGGGATCCGAACCCGGGCCGCCAGTAGCGGAGTGCGCGCACTTAACCGCTAAGCCACGGGGCTGGCCCAAGGTCCCTGGTCTTCTATCATGGCCCGAAGCGGAAGTCTCTGCTAAATGTAGAATACGCACGTGTTGGTATTTCTAGGAAAAAATTAGGATACATGGGTAATCAATTCTCAGTGTACTTAAATATGACACACTTCAATGTCTGCTTTATTATTTGTAAGACATATGTTATAACTTAAGTGATGTACTTCATTGTTCACACTAACCTAAGCTTAGTGCTATTCTCTGGTCAACTTGAAATTATTTACATAAAGAGCATTAATTTGGAGGGCCAGCCCCGTGGCTTGACGGTTAAGTGCACGTGCTCCGCTACCGGCAGCCTGGGTTTGGATCCCGGGCGCGCACCGTCGCACCGCTTCTCCGGCCATGCTGAGGCCACATCCCACATACATCAACTAGAAGGATGTGCAACTGTGACATACAACTATCTACTGGGGCTTTGGGGGGTGGGGGGAAGGAGGAGGATTGGCAATAGATGTTAGCTCAGGGCTGATCTTCCTCACAGAAAAAAAAAAAAAAAAAAAAAAAAACAAGAGTATTAATTTAGGATTATTTGCAGCAACCTTATCCAGAGTAGTTTCCCATCAATGACAGGTATGTTAGTGTTCTAATTCTAAGGACATTTGTTAGCCATCTGTATTTCTGATTGATTAATTTATCTTTTGAACTGTATGATGTTTATATTTTTTTAAATATGGATTTGCTGGCTTTCTAATCTATGTCAGAAAATGACTGCAACCGTTTCCTATTTGTATTTGTGGTTGAGAAGACCCTGAAACAGTTCTTAACCCTTTGCGAGCTGATTTTTTTTTTTCTTTTCCTCCCCAAAGCCCCAGTGCATGGTTGTATATCCTAGTTGTAAGTCCTTCTGGTTCTTCTATGTGAGCTGCCACCACAGCATGGCAACTGACAGACGGGTGGTGTGGTTCTGCGCCTGGGAACCAAACCCAGGCCACTGAAGCCATGAGAGCATGGAACTTGAACCACTAGGCTGTCAGGGCTGGCTCGTGATCTTTTGAATTTATGGCTTGCTCTCTATAACAGAACAATTGTTTGGACATCTGTTTTGATTGACCTACCATAATGTCAAAACCAGGCCAAATATGTAGTTAGTTAGCAGTTAGAGAAACGTATGTTTTAATCCATTTGTGTTTTATGGAAGATGAACCAAGTAGGGTGAAAAATAAGACTTTATTATGGATATGCTGTTGCTGTCTGGTAGAAGTTTTAGGGAAATGGTAACATAAAATCAGACCCTTAAGAGGGAAATTTGGGGCTCTAACTGGCTCTATCTGTGTCTTATGTGTAAAATTATTTGCACCATAGTTAGTTGGAATGAGTATTGAAGTTGAGAAACCTAGATTCTGGTCTCAGCTGTGCCACTCGTTACTGTGTGCCTGTAGGCCAGTCATTACCTTTGTGAGAATCTCCTAATCTATAAAATGAAGATAGTAATAAACATCCTACCTACTGTAAAGGGGTGGTAGACTGTTAAATGAGGTGGTATTGATGAAAATGTTTGAGGATGCTCTTGTGCCATGGAAATATTTGTTGTTAAACTTTATTTTGTATGTTATTAAATCTGCTATCCACACCTCGTATGACAGAATACAATGCAATATATATTTATTTTTAGTTATAGTCCATACACTTTGCTCTGCAAAAATATTTTATGTGGGAATGGAAGAAACAAGACATAAGACTGATTGATAGAATGGAGACAGAGGAGATTGCTGTCTTTTTCTACTCCTTTTTTCTTAGTATTATTTTGTTTCCCTCCCCATGATTTTCCAGGCAAAGAGTGTATACAGCAGTTAGCAGAAAACACCAGGTATTTCAGGAGACGTCTGAAAGAAATGGGCTTCATCATCTATGGAAATGAAGATTCTCCAGTGGTGCCTTTGATGCTCTACATGCCAGCCAAAATTGGGTACGTTTTTTTGCAGATTACAATGGGTCTCTCATTAGACTTAGGGTTTCCGTGATGTGAGGCTCAGGCTTGTGTATTTTGTCAGGGAAAATTGTCTTGGCCTCATTATGTTAACCTTCATTTGCTAGATATGCCATAGATTAAATAGTAAATGTTTAATTTTGTAAATAGTAAATAGTACTACTTTGTAATAGTAAAACTAGTACTATTTTGTAATTTGTAAAATATGTTAACTTGTTAGTCTTTCTGTAAACAAACATTTGAGTTTAGTGCACTCTTCTAGGGCATTGAGACAGATCAGTAAACAAATCACAAAAATAAAAATCCCTGTCCTCGTGGAGCTTACGTTCTAGAGGGGCAAGAGTCAGACAACCGTAATAAATAAGTAGATGATGTAATACGATAGAAGGTGTTGAGTGCTATGGGAAAAACCAGAGCAGGACATCGGGGGTTGAGAGTGCCCTGTGGGCGGGCAGATTTGCAGTATTCAATGGGGTGGTCAGGGTGAGCCTCAGTGGGGAGATGACAGCTGAGCTTGAGGGAGCTGAGAGTTAGGCACTTGGAGAAAGAAGCTTCTGTGAAAAGGCCGTAACACAGGAACAGGCTTAGCTGATGGAAGAACAGCAAGGAGGTGAGTGGAGCTGAAGTGCAGTGCCCAAGGGGGAGCAGTGAGCCACGAGGTCGGGGTATGTTACTGCTCAGTTACCAGACATGCAGATTACACCAGCTGCTTTGGCTTGTGCAAGGTGTATATAATGGAAAGCCTTGCCCCAGAATAGCTTTCAAGGTATTTGAGAAGTCCAGATGTATAACAAAACCAGAAGACATTTGAAAAGCAAATATGAAGTGAACAAATAGAATTATTTGCAAAATAGTCATGGGCAAAATTGCACCAGAGATGTAAAATAAAGGAGTCATCTGCTTTAGTATAGGCTCAGTAAGAAAGACACATCTTTTCAGGTTTGTGAGTTTTGGCTAGATCTTAAATATAAAATTGGATAAGGATCATTTCTCAGGTTTAATTGAACTCATTAAAGGAGCAAATTTTTCTCTTTTTTGCTGAGGAAGATTGGCCCTGAGCTAACATCCATTGCCAATCTTCCTCTTTTTGCTTGAGGAAGATTGTCCCTGAGGTAATGTCCGTACCATCTTGTTCTATTTTGTATGTCTGATGCCACCACAGCGTGGCTTGATGAGTAATGTGTAGGTCTGCTCTCGGGATTTGAACCCACAAACCCTGGGCTACTGAAGCAGAGCATGCAAACTTAAACCACTACACCACCAGCCCCAAGGAGCAAATATTTTTATTCATCTTTGAATCCCCACTGCCCACCTGTTGCTGGCATCAGAGGGCACTCAGTAAATGTTTGTTAAAGTGAATATAGGAGGGAAAATTAAATTGGAGAACTTGGAAGTACGGTGATTTCAAAGATAGTAGGGGGAAATTGGGAAAAGGTGCTCACTGAGGGAAAAAGAGGAGTTCGGTTTTCCACAGAGAGTCTACGGGCAGTTGGCATTATGGCCTTCAGAGAGGATGGTGGAAATGAACCCAAGCGAAGGTGTAGATTTTCCTCATTCTTCTTTAAATGGAATTATCATAAATGAACTTGAAGAGTTATCCGGTCTGGAGGACTGTGTCTAATCTGTTCTATACAGTTAAGCTGACTGTGTACATTATAATTAAGATTTAGAGAGGATGAGGCAGAATTGGAATAAAGCACTAGGCAGTTTGGGAGCATGTGCTGAAGATGCAGGGCGCTCAGGCTCATCCTGACACAAAGGAAGTACGTTGAAGACGATGTGCTGGTACTGGAGGGAGTGCGGAGAGGCTGGTGCTAATGTAATTGGCTCCTAATGTAACTAAAACCTGTGAGATTTTTTATTCTCAAACAAATGATTTAAACAGCTAAAGGAAAAGTCAAAACCGAATAAGGTAGGTCAACAATAGGAAAAGACAAACAACAACATAATTTATTAAATACAATTTACATGCAAGTTAGAATTGTGTTATTTAGACAAGATACAGATGTGGAGTAAGGTCACCTGCCACCAGTTTGGCTTGGGGTGGGGTGTTAAATAAGAATTGTGTAGTCTGGGTAATTAGCTGAAGCCTGGGGGTGAGCTGGCCTCACAGACACCAAAGGAAACCCTGAATTCCAGAGACAGCTTGACACCCAAGTTGATCAAAGAAATGCCTGGTCTGGAGGGCTAATGTTGGTCGGCCATTCTGCCAGCATAAAGATGTCCATGTTACAGCAGATCCTCTGCATCCTTAATCTTAAGAATTTTTTAAACTGCCAAGCCTAACATTTCAAGGACCAGGTTTTAAACTCCAGTTCATTCTGAACCGCTGTTACATGTCAGGGGCAGTTTAAGGCTACAATTGCAAATTACTTTAGGCAAGCTTTATTAAAAATTGGTCTCTGCCAACTATACTCTTTCACCTTTGTGAAGGAAACCACTTGGGAGAAGACCACTTTAGGGTTGAATAAAAGCAGTCTTTGTGAGTTGTCAGTTTTAACTTTAAAAGAAGTGAGAGGGAATTCCTAATAGAAGTCTCCAGTGCCTGTATGGCCTGCGAGTTTAAATCATTCGGGAGCACAAGGCTCTGTACTGCGTGCTTTATGACTCTTCCTGTTTCTTTTCCTTGTTCTCCCTTTGCAGCGCCTTCGGACGGGAGATGCTGAAGCGGAATATTGGTGTGGTTGTGGTGGGATTTCCTGCTACCCCAATTATTGAGTCCAGAGCCAGGTTTTGCCTGTCGGCAGCTCATACCAAAGAAATACTTGATACTGTGAGTAGACAGTTGCACTTTGATATAAATATACCTTACACTAAGAAGGCCTAGCATTAGATGTTAGCTCAGGGCTGAGCTTCCTCACAACAAAAAAAAAAAAAAGAAGAAGGCCTGTATATCTGGTGAAATTAATCATCTGTTGATCCTGATGTTCTTTGAGCACCTGAGATATTTGCTGGTAAAATAGAGGAGGGAGTATGCAGTGCTGCCTAAAACATCGCTATTTACAAAAGAACTGCAAAACGGTTAGCATCGCCCACCAGACCCTGCATGATCCGGGCTCTGGGGAATTTTCTGGCTTCGTCTTGTTCCACTCTCCCTCATTGTGGCCTCTACAACTATGCAGTTCACTTTCTACTCCAGCTGTTTCTACTCTAAGCTTTCTTGTATGTTGTTCTGTCTGTAGAGTTTTCTCTCTTGAGCCTTCGCTCCCCTTTGCCTGGCTGACTCCTACTCATCCTTCATATCTCCACTTAAAGGAAACATGCTCAAGACTATTCCTAAACCCTCTTGCTTGATGTTTCCTTGGAATCTTAAGATTCCTCCTTAGTAAGTTCTTCACACCTCTAGTTATTGAATGGCAATCTTCTCCGTTAGATAAATCTTGAGGTTGGGGAATGAGTCTGTTTTGCTCATTCTGTGTCCCGAGGACCCACCACAGTGCCAGGCACATAGTGGGGGCTCATAGTTATTACTGAGTTTAATTATTTAGAGTCTCTGAACACATTCTCATCTTTAGATGTTCTCTTAATGTGCTATTATTTCACACCTAGGAATTCAAACTTAAGTATTGCTTTCTGGGAGTTTGTAGAGCTCTACAACATGATATTTGCAAAAAATTAGTTGCTAGAAATATCCACTAATTCATTGGAGAGCTACTAATCTTAAAGAATACTATTATGAATGCGTATTTTTAAAAGTTCATTATAGGGCTGGCCCCGTGGCTTGGCGGTTAAGTGCGCGCGCTCTGCTGCTGGTGGCCCGGGGTTTGGATCCCGGGCGCGCACAGACGTACCGCTTCTTCGGCCATGCTGAGGCCGCGTCCCACATACAGCAGCTAGAAGGATGTGCAGCTATGACATACAACTATCTACTGGGGCTTTGGGGGATAAAATAAATAAACAAAAATTAAAAAAAAAAAAAGTTCATTATAACAATTTAATTGACATTTTATATTTCTGAACAGCTGAAGACTGATTTTTCTTCCCTATTTCTACATAGCAAAATTTCTGAGTGTATTTTAATCACATTCTGACACTGTGAAATTCGATTCAGTTTATTGACATTGTATCTTTGTTTTTCTTTTTCTTTATTTTGATTATGCCTTTCAGATTTTGTTTTTCAATAGATTTTCCCATTTCTCAAAACTCATACTGGTGAATTTCTGCATTGATTATTTTTTTTTAACCCAGTAATATCAGCTTCTCTTTTTACGGAGTTAGTAATTTTATTTATTTATTTATTTTTTCCCCCAAAGCCCCAGTAGATAGTTGTATGTCATAGCTGCACATCCTTCTAGTTGCTGTATGTGGGACACGGCCTCAGCACAGCCGGAGAAGCGATGCGTCGGTGCGCGCCCAGGGATCCGAACCTGGGCTGCCAGCGGTGGAGCGCACACACTTAACCGCTAAGCCATGGGGCCGGCCCCCGCTTCTCTTCCATTCTACTCTGTTTGGATGTTTAGGAGTTTTGACACGCCTTTTAAAAAATTATCTGTGTCACTATAAGCGGTAGCTATAGTAATACACTATGTTTTCTAACAGCAACTTTGACTCCTGAGAACTGTACACATTTGTGAAAGAATTTAGATGTAACCAGGATGTCTAAGTTAGATTTCTGTTGCCAACAAACATGTTTGCCAATTGAGAATTCTAATCCTTTTCATAAGATCCATTTGAGAGTTTTATTTGCCTTGCATTTAGTTTTTTTTAAGCATAAAGTGCATTTTTTTGAAACCATAGGTTTGTTGAAGTCATTTTGTCTTATGATGTTTTATGGGACTAAACATGAACATTATGAGATACAAATGAATTTTCATTTAGTAATGGACCCTGTGATATGATTCAATATGTAGAAAATGCCACAAAATCTGCAAAGAAGAAAACAACTTGCTAGAGCTAATAAACATATTTGGCAAAGTTGCAGAGTAAAAGATCAACACACAAAAATTAATGTTTCTATACACCAGCAATGAACAAATGAAAAGGAAATTAAGAAAATTTCATTTACAATACCATCCAAAAGAATAAAATACTTAGGAATAAATTTAACCAAGGAGGTGAAAGACTTGCATACTGAAAACCATGAAAATATTGCTGAAAGAAATGAAAGAAGACTTAAATAAATGGAAAGACATCCCATGTTCATGGATTGGAAGATTTAATACTGTTAAGATGGCAGTACAGGGCCGGCCCTGTGGCTTGGTGGTTAAGTGCGCGCGCTGTGATGCTGGCGGCCCGGGTTCGGATCCCGGGTGCGCATCGAGGCACCACTTCTCCGTTCATCCTGAGGCCGGGTCCCACATACAGCAACTAGAAGGAT